TACAAGCGATAAGTGTTTTAAGCTATAATTTAGATGAAGAGATGATTCGAAAGCAAGATATATCCTCAAAGCTTAGAAATAAACTAGTCGAGTGGAACCAAAACAATTTTGTACTTCCACAAAATAAGTTGACCTTTTATACAGATGGCTCATTGTACTCAGCCAGAAACAAGGCAGAAGGCCCTGATCGTATGAGAATAGGGGTAGTGCAGACAGATCAAGACGAACAGAATATAATTAAAGAGGGGTTTGCAAAGACCCATAATTGGCCATCATCAACTAAACCAGAATTGTTAGCAATCTGGCTAGCATTACTGGCAACACCAAGTGGAAGAGATGTCAAGATCTATACAGATAGTGCAGTCACAATTGCGGGAATAGAGAAAGGGTGGAATATCTTAACAAGTAAACACTGGTTAAAGTTGAAGAACTATGATTTATTACGTATTATTATAGAGCTAGTTAAAGTAAAAGAAATTCAATTAGAATTAGTTAAGGTTAAAGGACATAGTAATAATAGGTAGAATAACAAAGCAGATAATTTAGCTAAAAAAGGTGCTGCAGAGAATAATATAGATAGTATTGTTTATAACCCCCACTTAGATCTAATGTTTCACTATTCTGGGACGTGATATTTATTGAACATTCGGCAAGAGAAATAACTAAGATTTTACTCGACTTCAAGATGAGTGCAGATTGAAGAGAATCGAAAGCAATTCAAAAAGTTGAACCGAAAGAAGACCAGGAGAAAAACAATTAGACTTATTTCTGGAGGAAAATCAAGAAGAGCAATAGTATTAGATGTACGACAATGAAAAAAGGCAAGCGCCTTGGAACTCTTTTCAAGTGTGCTAATAAGATGCTTCTGGTACTCAGAACATTATCGTGAAGATATCCAGATATATATCAAGATTCAAACTGTATTGTTTGTAAAGAGAAGAAGAAAGAAGATTAGGATCATCTGGCATGCTGCAAAGAACAAGAGAACAACTGGAAGGAGGCTGAGACCTGTGCAGCGAATATAGCCTGGGCAGCTCTTCCAAAAGAAACTAGGACAAGAATAGATAAAGACCTCTTAGAGAGAACACTCTGGGGAGAGACAGAGAAAGAGTTCTATGAAACAAGATCCAAAGCAATCAAGGGCTTAGTTTAAGAAAATACAGTAGAAAGGATACAGGAGATTCTACAATCGAATAAGGAAGCCAAAACATATATCGAGCTCGCATTAGATATAATTTGGAACTGCTTTCATGAAAATATTTGGAAGAGAAGATGCGAGCTTCTTCGCAAATGAGAAATCAGCAAAGATATCTTAACCAAAGACAAAAAGCGAAGGTGCAAGCTATCGACAGAGAAAGGAACAAGACCAGAATGTGACAAACCAAGATCTAAAGAAGGGGGTATAGGGAGAAATATTTCTTTAGAGAAAATAGATAGAAAATGGAAAAGGAAAGAAAAAGAAAAGGGTTTAAAGAATATAGAAAATCGTTGGTATAATAGTTTTAGAGATTTAATTCAAAATAGTTGCAAGCCCTTTTGGTATGGATTGCACAGCTAACCTGGTATTAGCCTTCTGGTCTCGAAAGAATTTTCGGACCAGTGCGGCAGACTGCTTCTGGGCACCTATGAGGTAGCCGGAGGATGTCGGGCCTAGATATTAAGCTCAACATTATGTAATCTACTTATATAATAATCTTAATAAAAAATCACCGGCAAGGTTGCTAAAGTTTAAAAAAAATATATATATATATATATTTTGATTTAATTTTACAGAAAATGTCTCAGCAAGCTTTGGCATTCAAGTATCTTTATTCTAAAAAGGATAATTGACTTTCTGGCTATGATATAGATGAATTAATGAAAGTTTTAACAAATAATGATATCCATTCACCTGAGATGTTAAACTTTACCATAGCTTGGCTTAGAGATCAAAAAAGGTATAAACTTTTTTTTCTGTTACATTAGCAAAAATTTGATTTCTATTTGACTGATATTCAGTATGTCAAATGATATATATGGGGGTGAGTCAGTAGAAAAGGGACAAATCATTTTTAGTAAAATTTTTTTAATTTTTAAATTAAAATATCTTAACAATTATTTAATTAAATTTGCTAAAAAATTTTTTATTTTAATTTTGAAATTATATAAATTTAAAATAAAAAAAAATTCATTAAATTTAATAAGATAGTTGTTAAAATATTTAATCTTAAAGTTAAGAAAACTTTTACTTAGAAAAAATTTGTCTCTTTTCTACTGACTCACCCCATATATCATTGTGTTGACTTGTAGTTGTTTTTTTTTAAAAAAAGGTGAGGCAGTTCTGAGACTTGAGGAAGTGTAGTCGTTATTGATTCATTTAAAATGTTTCTGTTATTGTAAGAACTTCTACTAATTAAATCGGCTCTTGTAGGATGATGTTCTCTATTGACATTATGGGTTGATAATATTCGGTGTTGGTTTTGGAAGTTTCATTTTTTTTCTAAGTTTAGATATGACCAATGAGGCCAATACCAATGTAGATGGAATCGAGGATCGGGTCATAACATTCTTAATTTTATATATTTTCCATAACTTTCTAATGAAGGTTGAAAGTTTAAAAGTTGTCTTATATTTTCATAATAACTATTACTATTAGAAAATAGGTCAGGAAATATTAATGCTTCTAAATCAGGATTATTAAATAGGATGGGAAGGTTAGTGTTATTTATTGATCCAGCTACTAATCGATTATAATGCGAGTCTTCATTGTGAATTTCTAGAGGGAATGAATCATTGGGAACGACTAAGTCGGAGGGACGTGAGGTTTTGTCTGGAAGGTTACTGCGATATATGTTAGAGAATGATTCTTGAGTATTAATTGATTGTCTTGCTAGAGGTAATAGAACAGGCACTGGGTTTTCTGGAGATGGGTGTGTAATATTAATGTTTGATGCGTATTTTTTAATAAGCTCATTATGTTGTTTAAGCCAATTTGAGGCAGGAATTAGAGTTTCATGAAACCAATTTGGAGGTTCATTCGTGTTTAGATAGGCACCAGCAGTTCCAGAATAAACTTCTAATGTGCGATAGTTATGTGAGATATTTATTAATCCTTCTAGGTGACGGTAATGGGTATAGTGGTTAGTGCCAGCAGTTCGCCCTAATGAGCAGCTCATATGCACAGGAGAGAGGTATCTTCTGTGAAACATTAGAACATTTTGGATCTCAAGAGGAATGTCTGTTAATATTGGAGGATAATGACGAGTATTGTTGTTTTTGTATCCGTTACAAACAGCCACTTGTGTGGTATTTCGATTGTTTTGATGTGTATATATAGGGGTGTTAGGAAAAGCAATTGTTAAGGTGTATTGTTCATCATTATCATAAAGTAACTATTTTACAGAGGATTTCATCATGAGCATTGAACAATAGGCGCAAGGGATATTGGGATAGTTGTATAATATTTTTGATTGAAATTCGTTTAAGAGATGCAGAAGACTTGCTTGAGGAGTAAAAGGGTTATAAATATTTTGAGGTAAGAAATTTGTTTCGATTAGTGCTGTTGTATCATTAGAGGTTGGTGCGTTGATTAGATTTTGATTGATTTCATTTCTTTGGGTATAAGGTTCAAAAAGCATAATACTTTGAGGATCTGTATTATTTTCTGAATTATGTAATCCTTCTGTAAGGGAGGTAAGAAGAGGAATACGGTTTATTTCGTTATTAGACATGATTGGTTGTTGATAAAGGTAAAATAAGGAAGACTATTATAATATAATTTTTATTAAATTTAATTTGTTTATTATAGTAATGATCTATTATACGCGTAGTTATTTTGGAAAAGCGATTTGGATCATGGTATAAGTTAGCGCTATTAAGTTTATTTAGAGATATGTATTTGAAGCCGAATTTATAAAAGTAAATTTCAATTTAAATTTTGTATGATTGATTATTTGGTTATTTTTGTAGAATCAAGTTCTGAGAGAAATTTAATTAAAGTCAAGAGAGAGGGTTTTTATATATTTATTTTTTTGAAATTTGATTAATAATGTGATTGATTTAATTTTGTAAAATATGCACTTAATAGTTTTCTATAAATTTACATTTCGTACGTATCATTATTGAAAGTTATTCTAGATATCTTTTACATTACTAACAATAACAATCCCTTTAATGAATCAATAATTTCTTAAACCTTCAATAATATATGGTAATATATAGATTTGACAGCTTAGTACGGCGACAGGATTTGATTCATTTTTTTTTTGATAATGGTAATTTTTTTGCGTATTCTCGATAGAACTATTCGTTTTGTGTCAATCTTACTCTGGTATGTTTAAGATTTCTTTGTGCATGCATGATTTTGTGATTTGATTAAGGAATGAAGATTATTAGTTATTAAAATAATAGTGGCGTTGATTTGTTAATTATTTAGAATAGCAAATTATATAATGATAACAAAATTAATTATTCAAATCGAATTTTATGTACCACATATCACGAGAATAAAAACATACCTGCAATAATTCTTGAACCAGCAACTCCACACAAACAAAATTACATTTATCAAGTTTATTTTACGTAGCACGTTCTTTAAAGAAACAACGACTTTTTAATTATTTAGTGCTTAGCATGTGTTCTAATTTCTATAGAATATTGGTTCAATGTAATCACCAAAAAATTCAGTTACTTAGCTTTAAAGAGCAAACTAAAATAAATTTGATAAATGTACTAGCTTCTTTATTTGGAATTACTTTTATTT